ACGGGCAAGTATAGAAGGATTTTACTAAGTAATGTGGGAATACAACTTCTCTCTAATAATAAGAGAACAACAAAAATCTCTTTATTATGAGGAGAAAACACTTCACTTACTATCTCACAAATACCTCATAATTTTGTGGGATTACTCTCTTCTCACCCTCTCTTCTTTCTCTCTTGTGGTGTGTATAATGCTTGGATGCATTGCCTATTTATAGGCAAGCATCCATGCAAAAGACAAGGGGAAGGTAGGTGATATCAAATTTGTGCCTAACATTGTTGACAAATTGGTGTCTAACATTGTTGACAAAATATTGTTGATTTTATCAAACAATATTAGGGTGATTTCACATGTTACTTATTTTAATATTGGGACAAAACATTGTTGACTTTGTCAATAATATTAAGGTGATTTCACATGGTACTTATTTTAATATTAGCCATCAAAATGTTCGTTTGTTTGTCCAAGTGAACGGAATCAATATGTGCCGTGGACGTCCTCAATTTCATCTGCCCCGACAAAAAAAAAAATGATTGCCGACAATAACAAGTTTCAAGTTTATATCACTTTCACTTCACATATGCAGTGCTTGTCCACAAAGTCAGTGTAAGGTCAGCTGCCAAGAGCGACTTCCCTGAGCATTCCCTAAAAAACATATGCTCTCTCCGTCAATAACTAGGTGAAGCGTTACGTCAACCATAGATGCCTGGTGTACAAGATGCGTGTTAATTTTGGAGGCAATTATGACCACACCCTCGGTTTTCCGGGAAATAGTATTCTGATGAAAATTTATAATTTTATTCACTGGAACAGATTATCATAATATATAGTTTCATAAACTAAAGAAAAAATGATCTTTCAATACCATTTAATTGTGGAACGTTTAAAAATTTGAACACTTCTATATATTTTGGTTTTTTTATGATGGTTCGCGGTATAATTTCTTAAAATCTTATGAGAAATATGGGAAAACGAGATCAGATAATAGTTTTTAGGGTTAATTACATAAAAACTCATGAATTATAGTTTATTATCAAAGTGGCCCTTGTAGTTAATCTTTTCATGTCTAATCAATTATATTTAGAACGCCAGGTGTTATTTTATTAAGTTTACATTCTTACAACGTCACCGGCATTGCAAACACATTAGTTTATTGTTTATGAAACTCCAAGGACATAGCCGGGAAACTCCATGGATGCTAACATTTCAACTCGTATTTAATTATTGCAGATCAGACAGGGCACCAGCTTAGACCTCGTTTTGAGTTACCGGTGGAAAGTCCACGCGTGTTACTATCTCAAGTGTTTAATATCATCCTCTACGCTCAAATCTCAAAGTCAAGTTGCCTTCATGCCAACCCCGCTTGACCGGCTCTCTCTGCGTTAAAATACAAGTAAAAAAAAATGGCGACGAATTGACGCTGTCATGGCGGCTGATCACGACTTGAAAAATTCGAGTGCCTAAACCTCCTCTTATCTTCACTCGTATTATGGTTCATATATATATATATGCCCATTCCTCAGCTAACTAATAGTGCACAAATTCAGCAAAAACACTTCGATTCTACTCCTTTCATCACTTTCTTAGCTAGTCGACGACATTGTTGCTGCTTCAATAAATTCTTTCCACGGTCTACGTACTATTTGTCATCGGCATGTATCCATCAAAGCAAGACGCCGCTTATGAGATGAACCAAAAGCCATCACCTCCCTTGCCACCACCGGTGACCGGCTATCCAGTAGTACCCTTCACAAACCAGCATCACAATGAAATTCATTCTCATCCCATTCAGCATCAACAGCAGCCGCCCAGTCGTTGGTCCTCCGGTCTTTGTGACTGCTTCTCTGACATCCCTAATTGTAAGTTCTTTCAGATGATTTGGATTTCAATTATCAGTAACATTTCATAGCAGATGCTGGATTTCTATTTACATTAGAATCAAATCTTTTTTTTTCCTTTGAGCAGAAGCTAATATATCTTTTAACTTGTTTTTATAAAAATCAAGGAATGTTTTTAAACACTATATTTTAAAACAAGATATTAAAAGTAAGAAAAATAGAAGGTCAAACATATTGGTCTTATAAATTAAAATACACGAGTCAAAAGTTAAAAATTCTAACTTTTGATGAAATCAAGATCTTGATTCAATTTTTTAACAAACAGAATTGAAGTAAAACATGCAATTACACTAAATTTATTTATGATTTCTTATGATTGGAAAAAACAATTTATAAAAATCATAGCAAACGAAACCTTACTAATTAGTTGCTTAACATTTGTTGCTATCAATTGATTGCAGGTTGCATCACATGTTGGTGCCCGTGCATCACTTTTGGACGGGTCGCTGAGATTGTAGACAAAGGAACAACACGTGAGTGCAATACCAGTTCGTTTGTTTGTTCTGGAGATGGCCATTTATGTGCAAATTTCTTAGCACAAACCACACTTATGATGGTGTTGGAAAGTTTAGACTAATTAGATGTGCGGTTGTGATTTTATTTTTGTTGCAGCCTGTGCTGTAAGTGGAGCAATTTATGGCGTACTTTTATGGTTCACTGGTTGTCCTTGCATATACTCGTGTATATATCGCACTAAAATGAGGAAGCAGCTGATGTTAGAGGACAGACCTTGTAATGATTGCTTGGTTCATTTCTGCTGTGATGCCTGTGCTCTGTGTCAGGAGTATAGAGAGCTCAAACATCGTGGATTTGATATGACAATGGGTAAGCTCCTCGGGATCATTCCCTTTCCTCTTCAATGATTAATTGCATCATGCTATATCCCTTCTGGGCTGTGCTTTGTGGATCTATATCAGTTGGTTTTTTCTTTCTTAGGTTGGCAAGAGAATGTGGAGAGACACAATGGTGGAGTGACCGTGTTCGCATCAGCACCGCCCGTTGAACTAGGCATGAAACGCTGAATGAGCCATGCATGCTCTGAATGTTTGTGTGTTATATGTAAGGTAGAAGAGATCAAGATTTCAGTTCAAAAAGAAGAAGAATAAAAGATGCGATCAAGATTGTGCCGCTGGCATCCTTGTATGTTTTGTGCAGCTATATTTCTCTTTTCTTCTGTTCGTTTTTTTTATTTTTTATTTATTGAGATCACAAAAGCAATGTTCCTCAGTCTTGTACGATGATAGTCTGCTTCAATCGAATGTAAGATATCTATCATTTTTTAATCATTTGTGTAATCCTTGATTAAATTTGAACAAAGATCCATCCAATCAATAGTTGACATGCGTCCACCATGAGGATGGAACCCTTGCCATTACGAACTGTGGCGCTAGTGATGGTGTTCCTGTTGGCCGGCATATTTGTTTGTTCTTCTATCTGCGATCGAAACTGAAGAATCCGTCCTCGACGTCTTCTCTCCCCGCATCTCCTTCTCGTCCTCCCTGTTGGAAGATATACATGGCCGCCAACGTGTTGAGCCTAGCTGTCTGGCATTTTGATATTCTGGATAGCTTGCTTTCTGTTGACAGCTAAGGTGCCTTAAAATGATATTAACTTGAAAATTAAAACACGTCGGGTAAATATTGTTGAACAAACATTATTCACTCACCCGTAAAGTGGATATACAGTGTATATTTCAATAATTTATTTTAGCCCTCCATATTTATTTCAAGCAATTTAATTTTAATTAAAGACAAATTATTTTTTATTTCTAAACAGAGATGAAATTAAAAAAAGATAAACCAAAATGAAAAGAATATCAAATATAAAAGACATGGCAAAAAATACATTTAAATCCTCAAATTTAAAAAATAACACAAATTATACAATTTAAATTCTTTTAGATTCCACAAAAATCAATTTTAATATAAAATTTTATTTATATTATTTTTCAATTCTTGATTAGAGAGAATAGAAAAAGAGATTGATATGTTCAACAATCAACAATGAAAAAAAACATCATCCTTTAAGCTATTTCTATCACCAAAATATATTTTTTTATTCCATCGATTTCATAAGATATGAATGGCTTAATTATGTTGTTTAGAACTTTAATATTGCACGAAAGAAAAGATCTAAACTAAAAATGATAAATTTAACCTAGTTTGATTTCACATTTTTTTATTTTTTTTGGATACTTTTAATTGATGAATTGGCCTATAGATATTGCAAGAATATTAATAAAATATTTTTTAATTAAAATAATTTAAAAATTAAAATTTTTAAATAAAAAAAACTATTTTAATTTTCTAGCTGTCATTAAATGGCCAGAATATGATTTCACATACAATACATCATCTACATTTGTTTTTCCTCGTTCGCCCTTTTAAAATACATCTAAAAAATAAAATCAATCTCAGGTGTTTGGACTCGAGGATAAAGACCCACTCGCACACGCTAGGCTTTTCCTTGTAATAGTCGAGGCGGAGTATTAGGTTCACCCTGTTGGTATTGGAGTTGAAGCTGTTGGGTTCAATTAATACATGGATGTTGAATGGGCCGAGATTAAATCTCTTAAAGATCTAGCCTCCATTCAGGACAGTGTAATGTACCAGGATTTTTCTTTTTTATTCATTTTTTTTTTATTTTTTATGATGACAGGGGTTACAGATTAAAATACTTGCTTGGAAGCTAGCAATTTTAATATCGGATTGACACAAACTAGGCTAAAATTTAGTTAATTTTAGTCGATCTTGTTTTATCCCTTCTTATTAATGGCTTCGTATTTAAGTTTTTGGTGCTATTTTCATCTTGTTTTGGGTGTTTTATTTATATTTAAGATGGATAGTGATGAAGGCATTTCACGTATTAAATCAATTATAATTGTAAACTTATAATATTTATTATTATTTTTAATTATAAAATGCTATCAACTATAAAGGTAATGTTCCTGAGTAGCGTAATATAATGATAAAGAATTTAATATTTGTATGGTAAATCTCGAGATTAAATTAGAACATACATTTTTTATAAATATTTAGAATAATTAGGATTTTATTCATTTATTTGGATTCATAAAATGTATTTTTTAAGAAATAAAGTTTTCTCAAATTAAAAAAAAAAACTATAAAGATAATGAATGTAAAGTAAAAAAAAGCTTCGTCGGTCTCCATGTTCGAACATTAAGAGAGTCAAGGTAATTTCTCATTTCAATATTCCAGCAAATTACTAATGCAACCACTGCCTTATTATATTTAATATGATTTTAAATTTAAACTTTAATAAATAAGAATATTTAATAAGTACCTATATAGGAGGATGGACCTCCATAGAGCTCTGGTTTCTACCAAACTGGGCGAGTGATATTTTTTTTACTTTAATTGAACAAGCCTCGATCCAATTAATATAAAAAATAAACAATATGATATTTTTATTCCAATTTTTAATCAAACATGAATAGAAAAATAATGTTATTTTCAAATAGTTTTAAACCTTCAATCTTGAAAATGCATTATCTATAACGCACCACAAGTATAACATAAACAAAGAATCATTAATTGCTATTCTAGCAGAAACTGTAAATAGAAAGTGATTTATATTATTGTCTTTTCAAATAAAGAAGAAGAAGAAGAATATCCTACATTTACGAATTAAGAAAAGAAAGTGATAACAGCAAATACTTTTTATTGCATCGGAGATTATTTTTACTTACAAAATGAGCTATAGAGCTCCACCAAAAAGAATATCTAACTTATCATGTTATAAATTTATTCTTTAAAAACCATTAATTTAAATTTTATAAATCTTAAAGTTATTAAAAACTTATATAATTATTAATTTTAAAATTTATAAAATTAATAAAAACACATAAAATATTTTAAATATCAATATTAGTAAAAAAAACACACCATTTTTTGCCCTTTTCAAGAATCACATACAATTTCGCGCTCGTAAACACTTTTCAATGCTCGTGGCTTTAGAACCTTTTACTCATGTATAGTGTTTTTGGTATATTTGTTATTATCAAGAATATATTTTTTAAAAATATTTTTTATTTTAATATATATTAAAATAATTTTTTTATAATTTTAATATTAATACATCAAAATCAATAAAAAAATATAATTTTACAATATATATATTTTTTTAAAATCACAATGCTGAATTACACTTCGTTTTGTTCCTGAAAGAATTTATAGGAGTGTTTAAGAATATAGTAATAATTAATTTTTAAAGTATTTTTTGTTTTGAAATATATTAAATTAATATGTTTTAAAATATTTTTTATATTATTATATCAAAATAATTTTAAAATACTAAAAAAATAATTTGAAGCAATAAATAAATAAATAATTTTTTTAAAAAAATAACACAATTTACAAAAACAAACAAAGGAATTATTGATAAGCAAGTCTACACTGACTTGTTGAAGAAAATTTCAATCTTTTTTTTAATTGTATTTTTTTATTCATGATATTTATAGAAAATAATTTATTTTTTTAAAATTAGTTTTTATAAAAAATAATTTTTTTTTAATATTTAGTAGTATTATTAAAAATAAGTTTAAAAATAACTTATTAATATTATAATTTATTTTCAAGTTTATTAAAAAATATATGGTAAAAACTCGAGGAGAATTAAATTAAAAAATAATAAAATTTTATAAATTTTTTAAAATAAAATAAATAAAAATTAAAAATTAAATATGATAAATAAAAAATTGGAAGATAATGAAATTAAAAAAAATTCAATTTTACAATTTATTTTAAATAAAATAAATAATAAAAAAGAAAGATCAAATCTAATAAATAAAAAATCAATAAAATATAGAGAAAAAATAAGTATCAAAATATATAATAAAAAAAAAAATTAAGAGCTAAATTTAATATAATTAACTAATAACAGTATATATTTTTCTATTTTTTAAGTAAAAAGTATTTTTTTATTAATCAATACATTAAAGTTTAAAAAATGATTCCATGAAACATACGGGTCTTATTATCATGTGGGTCTTATTATCATGTCAACCCGCCACTGGAGATGGAAACCACATGCTCCAAACTACTTTCTTCTCATTTTGATCTGGGTATATAAAACCATTACTTAATTGCTCATCATGTACTCACAAAACCCATCTTCTTATGAAAAATTCTCCACTTCGCAGCCACCAGCGTTCGGTCAAGATACAACAACAACTGGGATCCCACTCACCTCAACAAGCCACTTCTACAGTACTGATGATTCTAGATCTTCTATTGAACTCCGATCCAAGAACAAGGGCCCTTGGTCAACTGGGTTGTGCGACTGCCATGATGATTGGCGAAACTGTAAGTTAGAAAAGCTGCTGCTCTTAGTGGCGCGTTTTTCACACGCGATTTTATTTGTGAGCGTGGGGTTGGGGTAATTGGTATCTCATTGTCTGAATTAATGGCTGTATTTTTCTCCCTCCCTCCCTCCCTCTTTTTTTTTTTGTGGTTTTACAGGCTGCATAACGTTTTGGTGCCCCTGCGTCACATTTGGCCAAATTGCTGAAATCGTCGACAAGGGATCTTCGTGTAAGTAAATATTTCCTATTACTGCGCTGTTATTAATTTTATGATTTATAGTTTCATTATTAATTAAGAAGTTTAAACAAGCGAATAACTTAATCGAATTCATATAAATAAATAAAAAACTTAACTCTATGTTTTTAGAATATTGTATCTTAATTAAGACCGCTATTTATTGACCAGTATGATGTATGCGTTACATGCAGCTTGTGGTGTAAATGGAGCACTTTACGCATTGATTTCATGTGTTACTTGTTTTCCATGTTGCTACTCATGCTTCTACCGTGCAAAAATGAGGCAGCAGTACTTGTTGAGGGAAACCCCTTGCGGGGACTGTCTGGTTCATTGCTTCTGCGAGTGTTGTTCTCTGTGTCAAGAGTATCGCGAGCTTAAAAGCCGTGGATATGATTTGGCTATGGGTAAATATATATAATCTTGCGCTCGACTATATATACGCATATGCTTTATGGGTTTAATCTGGGTTCTTAATTATATAGCGGGTTTGTTGTTTTGAAATTGCTTAGGATGGCATGGCAACGTGGAGAAAAAGAATCGCAGCTCAGAGATGGCTTCAGTGCCGCCAGTGGTTGAAGGGGGCATGAGCCGATAAGGGTGCCCCGTGCCCCAGATCTGGTTGTGCAAAACAATGCGCTGCGTTATAATCCGTTCACATCGTATGATCCCCTGTAGCTGTTTAATAAACTACTTGACAGTGTTGGAGGCTTGGTGTAGTAT